AAAATGTCACAGATTTGATTAAAGCCTATTTTTCAAAAACCCACGTGACCACCAGGAATGAAAAAAGTCAACACTTTCAAATATCATAGAGTTGATTGGGAATTTAAAAAGAAAATAGCAGTGGCTGGCAAACTAGGAAGAGATATCTCTGAAACTCTGCCATCTGAAGATCAAAATCCTTCTTATATATTCAAAGATATTATTTCCACCCCAAAGAGGCACCATATTTTCAAGGGATACGCAGGCTATGTTTTCAAAAAGAAGATAAGCAGGAAAGCAGGGATTTGTTCAAACTGAAGAAATCAAACTAACCATCACGGTTGAAATCTCACAAGGGGCAGTTAAATTGGGAAAATGAATTACGTTTCTTTTTAAAAACATGGAAGTGATCTCAAAGATTGATTTATAAAAGCCTATCTGACATAATTAAATCAGAATCCTTCCCTCTCTTGTATCTCTTTGTAGATCTTTGAGAAGACTTGCCGCCCATTATTTTAAAGAAAGAAACCCTGCGCATGTGCATTTCTTATAAATATAAGAGGGAGTGAACAGGGCAAACACACAAAAAATCTCACACTCAATTCATCAATCAAACAAACAACAAGAAATCAACCAAAAAGATCACTCAAACTCCAAGAAAAGCCAGCTTTAGATCAAAAATCCCGAAGTTCAGACTTAGAAAATAAATCATTTAAAATGAGATCTCTCGTTACAAATTTGGTTCAGCAAAACACCAAGACATGCAGAGTTTGAGTTTTCCCAAACATGAAAACCTCAACAAATTTTACAGTGCAGTCCTTAGCATACTGAGTCCTCAAGAACAGCCACTTCTCCCCTTTCAGACTGAAGAAGCCGCAGTTCTGCCCACTCAAAAGCCTCACAAAGCTTGAAGTAGATCCAAGCTCTACCAAAATTGAACTTTGGTATCGATTTACATCTGAAGCTTAGCAGTTGAAGTTGTTGACAGTTCAGTCCAGCCCGGATTAGAGCCTTCTACCTAGGCAGAAACGAAGTTCCAACTGTCTTTTAATCTTTCTAGCGTTGATATGTATGTTTATAGTTTTGTAAAGGGCAGTTTTGCCTAAAACAGTGTAAGTTATCTATGCTAGAAGAAGTCTGCTCGAATCTTCATTGCTAGCAGTGGCACGCTCATACACCAAAGA